AGCTGAAGCAATCTAGAATTACCCATTAATTCTAGAGTTGAGTTCATATTTTTGTTTGTGTGTGTGTCTTAGACTAAGTTAAATTAAAGTCACTGAACAAATTCTCCAACATTCATTTTTTCATAATTTTCACACGCGAACATCCGGGTTAAAACTCATCTTCAGCGACCCATGCAGGCGACAAACGAGATCGGGTGGTCAGACACGCTGACCTGGTTGATGCATGTCATCGTATCCCAATTACATAGATCGATGCTCATGATGTCAGTCACTGGATTGCTGGCCCAGACTAAATTCATTATAGACAGTAGTTCTATAGCTGGAATATTCTTGCATGGGCGTTAAACAACACTCACAACAACAACGACAAATTCATAAAACTGACACCTTCCAAATTGTACCGTTATAACTTCATGGACAAGGGTCTTGAAAAATGGGTTCTTAACAGACACATGGCTGAAGTCACGTTGTGACCCTCCTGTACTGAGTCGAACCATCAGAGTCGGATCCAGGTGACGAAGATGCTCCAACCCTCAGATTAATAAAGCACATAGCCTCAAGCACATAGCTTGACAACAAACGTCCGAAGCCAATTGTTCATAACGCATGTCTGGAATTACTTCAGCCCGAAATAGCCTCCATATTGTATGATATACAAACCTATGAAAGAATTACCGAGAAGGATGACTCCCAATAAGACCGGAGACAGTAAAATTCCCATGATAAGAAATTATTATTTCTTCAGTGTCATCATTCATCACTGGTTTAATGGATGTCTTATCGCAGTATGTGATTGGCGTTGGCATCTGTTCCGTAGTAAATATTGATTTCATTGCTTCTGGTCTTCCGGGGTATATGTTTCAATATCATGACATTTCCTGACTCGTGCCCGAGGGATCCGACTTTCTGGGAACTTTCAGCGCAGGGGAAAGTTCGCAGTGTGCGTGTGGATAAATTACTTGTGTGTGCTGTGTTTTGGGGGTGTGTGTGTGTGTGTGTGTGTGTGTGTGTGTGTGTGTGTTTTTGTATGTCTTTCTCTGTTCGTCATTGTGCCTGTGTGTCGCTCTTTGTGTCTCCGTCGGCGTGTTCTATGTGTGTGGTGTTCCAGTAGTGTTATATGTCTCTCTCTGTGTCTCTCTCTCTCTCTCTCTCTCTGTCTCTCTCTCTCTGTGTCTCTGTCTCTGTGTCTCTGTCTGTCTCTCTCTCTCTGTCTCTCTCTGTGTGTCTCTCTCTCTGTGTCTTTGTCTCTCTCTGTGTCTGTCTCTCTCTCTGTGTCTCTGTCTTTCTCTCTCTCTCTCTCTCTTTCTCTCTCTCTCGCGAGTGAGCGAGCGTTAACGCCGTTGCGTTCAATATTCCATTTTCGGCACTTTGAGCGAAACCCTCAAAGCACCAATGTGTCCCACTTCTGTTAAACCCACGAGCAATGGGATAATCCTGACCCGTTCTTAACCGAACATGAAGTCGAGCGGCGCTCTGTCCAAACATCTGACCACGGGAACACATAAGCTGTCAGCAGACTGAATTCCTATCTCTAGTTACACCATGGGGACAGGACCTGACATTGATAAGTAAATCCTTTAGTCGTGCAACCACCTGCACCTCCTCACATCTACATCGGTTGTCTTCTTCAGGGCTGAGTGACGAATGGACATATTGCCAGATATTGAGTAATCAGTCATGAGTGTGTGTCTGGGCCTCGGACAGTATAATACTGGTGTATATCATCTGTTATCTACCACCCTGGGATCCCCTGCTTGTTGGGACGTTGGAGTGTCAGTACTGTGATATCGTGTTCATTACTTCAGTATTCCTTGCTTGTTGCGATTTATTATCTGAAGGTGGAGAGTCAGTATTATGTGATATCGTGTACATTATTTCAGTATTCCTTGCTTGTTGAGGAGAGTCAGTATTGTGTGATATCGTGTACATTATTTCAGTATTCCTTGCTTGTTGAGGAGTGTCAGTATTGTGTGATATCGTGTACATTATTTCAGTATGCCTTGCTTGTTGAGGAGTGTCATTATTGTGTGATATCGTGTACATTATTTCAGTATTCCTTGCTTGTTGAGGAGTGTCAGTATTGTGTGATATCGTGTACATTATTTCAGTATTCCTTGCTTGTTGAGGAGTGTCATTATTGTGTGATATCGTGTACATTATTTCAGTATTCCTTGCTTGTTGAGGAGTGTCAGTATTGTGTGATATCGTGTACATTATTTCAGTATTCCTTGCTTGTTGAGGAGGTCAGTATTGTGTGATATCGTGTACATTACATTATTTCAGTATTCCTTTGCTTGTTGAGGAGTCAGTCATTATTGTGTGATATCGTGTACATTATTTCAGTATTCCTTGCTTGTTGAGGAGTGTCAGTATTGTGTGATATCGTGTACATTATTTCAGTATTCCTTGCTTGTTGAGGAGTGTCATTATTGTGTGATATCGTGTACATTATTTCAGTATTCCCTGCTTGCTGAGGAGTGTCAGTATTGTGTGATATCGTGTACATTATTTCAGTATTCCTTGCTTGTTGAGGAGTGTCAGTATTGTGTGATATCGTGTACATTATTTCAGTATTCCTTGCTTGTTGAGGAGTGTCATTATTGTGTGATATCGTGTACATTATTTCAGTATTCCTTTGCTTGTTGAGGAGTGTCATTATTGTGTGATATCGTGTACATTATTTCAGTATGCCTTGCTTGTTGAGGTCAGTATTGTGTGATATCGTGTACATTATTTCAGTATTCCTTGCTTGTTGAGGAGTGTCATTATTGTGTGATATCGTGTACATTATTTCAGTATTCCTTGCTTGTTGAGGAGTGTCATTATTGTGTGATATCGTGTACATTATTTCAGTATTCCTTGCTTGTTGAGGAGTGTCAGTATTGTGTGATATCGTGTACATTATTTCAGTATTCCTTGCTTGTTGAGGAGTGTCATTATTGTGTGATATCGTGTACATTATTTCAGTATTCCTTGCTTGTTGAGGAGTGTCAGTATTGTGTGATATCGTGTACATTATTTCAGTATTCCTTGCTTGTTGAGGAGTGTCAGTATTGTGTGATATCGTGTACATTATTTCAGTATTCCTTGCTTGTTGAGGAGTGTCATTATTGTGTGATATCGTGTACATTATTTCAGTATGCCTTGCTTGTTGAGGTGTCAGTATTGTGTGATATCGTGTACATTATTTCAGTATTCCTTGCTTGTTGAGGAGTGTCAGTATTGTGTGATATCGTGTACATTATTTCAGTATTCCTTGCTTGTTGAGGAGTGTCATTATTGTGTGATATCGTGTACATTATTTCAGTATTCCTTGCTTGTTGAGGAGTGTCAGTATTGTGTGATATCGTGTACATTATTTCAGTATTCCTTGCTTGTTGAGGAGTGTCATTATTGTGTGATATCGTGTACATTATTTCAGTATTCCTTGCTTGTTGAGGAGTGTCATTATTGTGTGATATCGTGTACATTATTTCAGTATTCCTTGCTTGTTGAGGAGTGTCATTATTGTGTGATATCGTGTACATTATTTCAGTATTCCTTGCTTGCTGAGGAGTGTCATTATTGTGTGATATCGTGTACATTATTTCAGTATGCCTTGCTTGTTGAGGAAGTGGATAATCAGAATTGTGTGCTTCCCTGCTTCTTCGGGATTGGGAGTGTCACCGTCTGCACATATTGCGAATAGTCATCGACTGTTGTCTGCTAATATTCAGTGATGCTTTGATAAGGCAAGGCCATTCATTGCAGCGAGTGAGTGAGTCTAGTTTTACGTCGCTTTTAGCAATATTCCAAGCAAAATTTCAGGACTATCATGGTGAATAAACAAGGAATGGGCTTCAACATTGTACCCATGTGGGGAATCGAACCCGGGTCTTCGGCGTGGCGAGCGAACGCTTTAACCACTAGGCTACCCCACCGCCCCTCATTGCACAAAAATGTTGAAAACTCCTAACACACTATGATCCAAAACGAAGCATCTGATGGAACGCCTGATCGCGAGACTGAAATACTCAGTACAGCCTGAGAAATAGCATCAAATCATGACGATATAATTTGAACAACATGAGCACTAAAATCATTCACACGAACTATGAATCCTCAGAGTGATGTCAAATATGATCCATGAACTGGATGCAAGTCCGCTTTTCATTGAGACGAGTTCCGCTTACCGCACATAATCCTCAATCTGATGCCACGGCCAACGACAGCAATGGTCAATGAAGGCAAGTTGTTAAGGCTGAAGCGATAATGACGCCCCGGTGCCAGATAACAAGAAGTGGGTCGTCGACTCAGGTGCCGTAGTAATTGCACATTCAGTAGTGAATCTAGTAGTGAGTACTTATCAGGACTATGGTGGTGAGAAATGCTTCTGACAAGAATATCGTCCAGTCGCGGATGAGCACAAATGTCTTATAGGGGTTTGTCAGTTGAAATATATCCTGTAGTTGTCAGTTCAGTGGATCAGGAAGTATTGTCTGAAGATATTGCTGATACCAGGAGTTGGTGGCTCTGGTGGCTGTACCTATGAACTGTCTGTGAGTGGTCTCTGGTAGTGGAACAATGGCCCAGTGAGTAGAGAGTGTTCTTGGAGAGCGGAGGTCAGAAAGAGCGATCTCAAGCCGGTATTGGGTCGTGGTACGAACGGCTATCCAAACGTTTTGAGTAAAAAATACTTCTGATGTGTGCATGATCAGAATATCTGCATGATATTGAATAATGGTTTATATCATTCACATAAACGTAATAATTAATTTTACTATATCAGGGATCTAATTTACTAAAACATAAAAATTTCCATGGTCAGATGAGGTGAGGTGAGGTAAAATTGGGTGTAACGTCGTACTTAAAAATATTTCGCTCATATGACGACGTGCATGCATGTGTATGTGTGGCTGCTTGTACTTAGGCTGGATTTATAGTGCTAGCTCACTGAGATATCATGCCGCAGTTAAGCATGAATACCCCACTCAGACACTGACTCTGATTACAAGTACCATATTTTAACGTCTTTTGGTATGACGCGGCCGCGGATCGAACCGGCGACCTACCGCTCTCCGGGCGGACGCTCTAACCACTTCACCACTGCTGCATTCTCCAAGGTAAGATGAACTGGGCCGAGGAGGGATAGTCGATTTAAGTTACACAGTTTAATATGAAGAGATGATGACGTCATCGAAATCTCTTGAATTTGATATTTGACTCGTGTTTTTAAAATTTGAAATTTTCTATCGGCATTCAGCACAATTGCTTCTCGACATCGTGTGACCCACCGTTAATATGAGTGCATGAGAGAGTGAGTTTTGTTTTGTGTTACTTTTAGCAATATACCGGCATACATCACGGAAGCACCACACCATACCGGAAGCACCACAAAAAAGTTCGTATCTTAAACATTGTGGAGAATCGAACCGGGACCTTTGGTGAGACAAGCGAACGCTTTAATGACTGACCTACGTCACCGCCCCCTTAACCTGAAGGTAAACTGGTTTTATTGCTCAGGGCAAAAAAACCCTTCAGTTAAGGGATAAATAAATGTATACGTCGGGTTGGTGGTTGGCTTGATAGATGAACGGAAACAGACACATTACAGTTTTGCTTTTGACTGTCTTCCGTAAATGGCATTTAGAAGCTGGGATGATGAAGAGGTACACTTTTTTATGGATAGACAACTTCTTCATTTCTTTGAGAGGCATTTTAGAAGTTGTATAGATGAAGGAAAACCAAGTTCTATGGATAGTCAACTTCTATAGTGCAATGGGTGCGACGTTTCGGTGAAGGTACTAACACCGTTATCAAGCAAGTGATACAAAGAGTTGTAACATGGAGAATATATACATAGCTGCACACTACTGCAATAAAGAAGTTGACTATCCATAGAACTTGTTTTTCCTTCAACTTCTTATTTGCAGTGGATTCTCCAGCCTAATCAAGAATAACCAACCCTTTGTCTATCTGGCTTCAATCATTTCTTATCACAACAAGCCTCATTATGTCAGCACACTGTACATCAACCTCTTCAGTTGTATAAACTTAAATACCCGTCATGTATATATTTCTCCGTGTGCATATGTCGTGTATCATTTACTAGATAACGGTGTTAGGATCTACACCGAAACGTCGCATCCACTTCAATAAAGACGTCAGCTATCCAAAACAAATGTACCTCTTCATCTTTGGCTGTCTTTACTTTCTGTCTTATGACTAAAATACGGCCATGATCACCGTTCGGACTTGACGTTTGCAATAAAGCCATGTGAAACGATGTTCAGGAATTTCTTTACGTTCGATGTCTGACTCAATAGGAAAGTCAGCAGAGTTGAAAACGAACCACACTTTTTTATTTTCTTAAATTGCACCTTTTCACTCTAAAAACAAGTTAATGGAGACTGATCCATCACCCAATTGAAAACCGTTTGACAAAATCTCTTTTTAAGACTTGTTTTAAATGGACAAGTTGAGGAAGCCCGTAAACTGTGTCTAATGCCAGAGTCTGCGGATAGACCACTTGCCCAAGGAGAAAAGGTGTAAGAGCTTTCGACCTAATCAAATCAATCTTTCCTGTTCATTCCACAGGAGGACTCACAACTGACGCGACAGTTAGACGAGTTTAAAATCAAGTTAACAAGAATTACATTCACTAATGGACAATGTGTTAATTTGGCAGTAAAATTAGATTGTATTTGCTGTTAATTTTGATGAAAAACCTACAATTGTCTACTTTCTATTCGCAGACGTACCTCAGGGGGAATGAACAAGGACAAAGGTTTGTCCAAACTGACAAATATTGTTCCAGCTGAAGCAAATACATGAACCGACATGTCATTAGGAGCAATTAATGTAACGCTGTGATTGTTAAGGTTGGACCCTGATAAACCAGGGATTACAGCCCGGGAAAGCCACATTTAAGAAAAACAGTTAAAAGTGGTGTGGCTCAACCGGCAATGGCCATGCTTGAGTGATCGTGTGAATGTGGTTCTACCGGCAATGAGCTATTAGCTAATCCGTGTTACCGTAGATAATGTGAAATATTCGTTTTGTAGATCTAGAAATCCAGTTGAATTGTTCGTGGAGAAAAGTCCAGATCACGCAATCTAGCTGCCTCACGTAGGTACTCAAACACCTTTGACGAAGTATTTATGATTATACAACCAATTATTTCTTTGAAGCATTTTAAGCGTTATGGGAGGGTCAATTCAATGTTTTATCCTTTTCTGATAACTGTTTGAGATAAGAGCTATTGTTGCCTCAGTTATTATGTTTACATTCATGCTAAAAACTATTAAAACTATTAAAACTAAAAACAAAATTTAGGACTAGATTTTCCAAAATCAGTATTTTTGCCGCCGTTGCAGTAATGCCGTTTTGATTTAAAGTTGAAACGCCACATTAAATTCGATGAAAAATTCTTGTTCAAACTTCTCTGCTAATGCAATAAACCAATCATATAAACCAAAGTAGTTTACATGAAGGCATTAAAAACACAGAAAAAAACAAATAAAGTTTCTTAAGAGCAAAAGCTGAAATTGTCCTTTAATGACCCATTGGCATGCATCATTTTAGCTCAGAACATATGTCATCATATGTTAACTAAAATCTTCAACGAGAATAAAGAAGCCGCCCATCATATGTTAACTAAACAAACAAAGGACAAGTCACTAAAACAATTTTAACCAATTGTGCTTAATGGGTGACGCTTATTTGGCAAAACGGTATTGATTCCCTTACTCATGGCTTTTGCGGCGATTCACGGCACCGAGGTTTGTACATAAAATGTGGCTTTAGCGGCAAATGATATTTTTCAAATATGGCTTTCTCGGGCTGGCACCAAACTGGGAACCCTGTCTTCGGGGCGACTGCACCCGTGAAGATCCGGGTTAGAATTGATCTTCAGCAACCCATACTTGTCGTAAGTGGCGACTAACGGTATCGGTGGTCAGGCTCGCTGACTGGTTGACACACGTCATCTTATTCCAATTGCGTAGATCGATGCTCATGCTGCTGATCACTGGATTGTCAGGTCCAGACTCGATTATTTACAGACCATAACTGGAATATTGCTGAGTGCAGCGTAAAACAACAACAACAACAACAATAGGGACGACCGCACCTAACCGCTGTAACCAAATCATTCCAAAATGCTCAAGGAGTGTGCACAACCGAACTCACCACCTGGGAGCACGTTTTCTTTTGTTTATTTGTCGGTTTATTAATAAACGCCGCACTCAGCAATATTCTAACTATATGACTGTGGCTTAATGACTGAAATCATTAGTATCGTTAAATACAATTCGGTTGCAATGACATTCAGGTGACGTCACCTTATAAATCAGCCCAGGCCGATGCCGAATCAGTTTTACCAAGAGAGAGATTAGCCTATCAAATATGTAAAACCAAATTAGAGTTGGGTTTGTTTGTTAGTTTAACGTCTCATTGGAGTTGCGGCCTGTAGGTAATCGAGTAATGACGAGACAATCCAGTGATTGATATTGCAAGCAAAGACGTTGGGTGTCGGGTGCCAGGACACGCTATCTACCAATCAGTCCGACCACTGATACATTCTGGTCACCTCATACAACCAGGGTAGTTTTTAGGGATCATTTCTCACCCCTAAAGTGATCGTAGAGAGTATTGGTAATGCCTTGTGCGTACATGCTCACATGTGCTTCGGACGATTTCACAGTACCGCCGTGATTAATGGCCTGTTGATATGTTAATAAAATGCTAAGCACGGAATTACATCTGAAACTGAATAAGTAATGTCACAAACTCGCCGTCCTTTGACAAATGTGGTTGGAGAAAATAGGTCATTGGCACTATACTGCAAAAGGACTCACTCATGCGCTTATAAACACACTAACTCATCCATTCCCTAAACCAAAAATAGAACATTCACGCCCAAGTGGACACAGTGATTTGTGTGTCTGAGCAAAGGAATTAACTCTAGTGAGACTCGAATATTTACAGACCGCCGCCATATGGTTGGAATATTTCTTAGTGTGGCTTTGACCAACAAAGTTAACACACAAGAAAAGACAAAATCTATTTTACGATATTAACCTAAGAACTGATATTTTACTTGAAACTTTCATATGAAACCACAACTGTATAATATGTTCTATACGCGTTATGAATCTACAGTGAGTTTAGTTTTACGTCTCTTTTAGCAATATTACAGCAAAATAAAGGCGGGGGACACCAGAAATGGGCCTGACACATTGTACCCATGTGGGGAATCGAACCCGGCGTGATGAGCGAACGCTTCAACGACTAGGCTACCCCACAGTAACCCCAAAGTAACTCAAGACGCGTGGTTGAACTAAGGTCTGCTATGATAATTTCCCCTGAATCAAATGTAATAGTTTGGGCTAATCAAACCATCCCGTCACATCTTTTATGGATGAATTATCATTCTCTCTATCTGTCTACTCGTGTTTTCTTCCCTAGCTCACCCTGCAATGCTGAAGCCCTAAATGAAGCAAGTCTAGCATTTCCTCAGGTTCACTGGGTCTCCTTTTCAATTTGTAGGGGTGGGTATTGCAGAGAATTTTCATATTGCGATATATTGCAATGCGAAAGCATATATTGCGATATGTATTGTAATATATTGCAATACTGACTGAGTGAGTATGGTTTTACGCCGTTTTTAGCAATATTCCAGCAATATCACGGCGGGGGACACCAGAAATGGGGAATCGAACCCGGGTCTTCGGCGTGACGAGCGAACGCTTTAACCACTAGGCTACCCCACAGCCCCTCTATTGCAATAAGTTAATGCTTGACTTATAAAGCAAAAAGGCAACAAAAGCACTATTCTTGATTAAGGTTTAATAAAAACTTTTAATTTAATTTACCATTGCATATTTTACGTACCGCGTTACTCTTATCAATAGTTCCATCTACCGTGAACTTTGTCCACCCAAAATGCTACCATACGGAAGCCTTTGCCCTTGTATTTGGCACCACAATAACTTGTTTGTTGTTGGGGGCGCCATTTTACAACAAACGTATGACTTCCGGTGTGAAAAACGGAAATATCCGAAGATTTCCGAAAGTTACGAAGTTTTCCGAATGCATGTCAAAATACCGCTTTTCGATCAACGTATCCCAATACGAATCGTTTCATGTCTTAACCGGTATATGCCGGTAAACCGGTTATACTGCGCAGCCCTATCATTTGAATGGGATTATTTTTCAAAAACTTTTCTTTGTAAACCAGTGCATTATATTCCATTCCACAAATCAAAAGATGAATTAGTTATGTATGCTAAAACGACTTTTGAACACAGCTCTAGTCAGAAGACGGAGTGTCAGTCTCTATTTGTCAACCTTAATGAAACAGCGCTGATGGAGATCACACACAAGGATCATATTCGGTGTTAAACTGTAATTGTTAGAGGAGGTAACTCTGTCAAACGATTACGTCGTACCACTATAAAAACAGTCATCCCGAGACTCCCTGTTGACAGACGGCTTCTTTCTGCGACATCCTCGCCTGATGAAGTAGTGGAGGTGTCGAAAATAAACCAAATCAAGGGAAAAACACTTGCAGATAATTAACAGTCTGTTGACCCAAAAACTAAAAACGCCATTACACTCCTTGTAACACTCATTACTGGGTGTGTTTGCCCTGTTCAATATTTCTCCTTTACACTAAAGACGTACAAAATCAATATCTTTGATGCTGAAAGATCAACAGTATTTGTGCTTCTTCCCCACAACTCGTACCGCAGACCACGCCTATGTGGACCTGAACTATATACATGGTATAGGGAATATTGTCCATTTGTCAAACCTGTCAATCACTCTGTAGATTTATAGGGCGGTTGGGTAGGCTAGTAGTTAAAGCGTTCGCTCCTCAAGCCGAAGACCCGGGTTCGATTCCCAACATGGGTACAATGTGTGAAGCCATTTCCTGGTGCCCCCGTCGTGGTACTGCTGGAATATTGCTAAAATCGACGTAAAACTAAACTCACTGTAGATTCATAACGCGTATAGTTATAACATGTTATACAGTATGTGGGTTCATATGAACATTTCAAGTAAAATATCAGTTCTTGGGTTCATATCGTAAAATACGCTTTGTCTTTTTTGTGTGTTAACTTTGTTGTTTAAACACACTCAGCAATATCCCAGCCATATGGCGGCGGTCTGTAAATAATCGAGTCTGGACCAGACAATCCGGCGATAAACAGCATAAGACTCGATCTACGCCATTGGGATACGATGACATGTATCAGCCAAGTCAACCCGATACCGTTAGACGCCTTTTACGACAAGCAGGGGTTGCTGAAGACAAATTCTAACCCGGGTAAAATACGAACAGAGACGGCTTTTTCGTTGCTACTGCACTGGCACATGACAGTAACAAAATCAATTCTTACAGAATCAGGAAACGGATATGATATTAAAAATTATCAGTGAACTTTGGTCTGAATTCAGCATACAGCGGGCATATTGGTATCAAACGGGGCTGTTAAGCCTTGTCAATCAGCAGGACAACACATGCGATACCGCAGTATGAAACGTGTTAGGAGAATTGCTCTTAAAGCGGATCATGCACGATAGTTCACGCAACGGACCAACAAACTCTAGTTCCATAAATGGCGTCAGAGCACAACCGACTTTAATACCGAGGTATCAACTGTGAACCCTGTTTTTTGTTTTTTTTATTTATTTATTTTTTCTTCGTAGTGGAGGCCATAGGCCTAGGCTACACTTCAGGATTTCAGAGCGGTACATATGTGCATATATGATTCAGAAGACAATAAGTTAATTTACAAAGTATACGAAAGGAAATATGATATTATTGGCATAGAAGTGAATCTATAAGTTTCGTTGCATTGTGTATATAAATAGCTAGGTTTTTTACAATACATGGATTGCCAGTTGACATGAGCACATTAAACTGAATAGTGGGATTCGAATAAAAGTTATGTGGTAAATACAAACATCTCAGATTTTGATAACATTTACATACCAAAATAAAATGAAATTCATTTTCAATAAAGTTATCTTTACATACAAAACATAATCTATTTGATCTGGGTTTATTAATATATCGACTGGTTTCAATTTGGAGGCGGTGTGAAGAACATCTGAATTTAGCAAGGGCCAATCGGAATTTTGAAATTGATAAATCTTTTATGTAAAACTGTGAACCTGATTACAAGGAACCTTTGAATACATAGTGCCTTCAGAAAATTGTCAAATATAAAAAATCATCTCAGCTGGTAGTTGAAGCTGGAGCACAGCCCTCCAAATACAGACACTTAGGTACCAGAAGAGGCAATGTTACAATTCAACCTCCTTGCTCCAAACAGCGCTGGTGGAGTATTTACAGACTTAATGCTGCTACTTCTTTCAATCATAACACTGTGCTTCGTCCACTCTTTGAATAAGCACGTTCTGTCGTTATCCAAGAACATGGGAACTTGGTCAAACGTTTGGTTTCGAGAGTTGCGACCGTTTACTAAAGGTCGAGGTCACGAGGACTCCATAAAGTCCAGTGTGTATTCCACTCATTTTTCTACACATATTGAGTGATGCCTTCAAATCATCAGTATCATGTGCATTAATGTTTCATACTTTTCATTCTGTTGATATTTTTCAAGTGTAAATACTGATCCATGTCAGATATCTTTTGTCTAAAAAAATGTGTTTCCAGAAAGCTGAAACTGACAGAACTATGGGCCCATTGGCATTCGAATTTGATAGTTCCATGTGAGATATACTTGAAATTTATTTTTATCATTTATATCAATTACATTTAAGTAATTAATTATCTCAACTGCATAGATGAATGTAATGTATGATATTGTTTATGTCAGTGATTTAAATCTTTCTTAAACAATACTCTTTGATTTTTTCATTTGCATGACTGGTCGTGTACATGATCTTCACCCTGAAAAATTTAATCATTGAATTTTAAATTCAAGAAATTTGAATTTTAACAAATCTGGACTAATTATGAAATTATGAAAACATACCATAAAAGGCTGTTACCAACAGGTCAAGGTCTCTATTTGTCAAGTCCATGTAATCAGATTCCGGTCAGGGGGTACCCTTCTTTCAGGACATCTGAATCATTCATGTGCAACTATTTTTGCAAGAAAAGTTTTGATTCTTAACGAACACGTCCTGGGGATCAGTTTGATATATAGTTCTTGTATTCACCAAGTATGTTGAAACACTCTCCTATCTCTAGAGGCCCTACAGATGTCGGTCCACTGCCTAACATACAATACTCAGTTTCAACCCGGATCTACTACTGTGCCCCATTTGTCGGGATGATGATGAGAAGATGATGTGATGTATGTTAGAAATTATCTCAGAAGTACTGGCAGCAAACGGTACTGAATTATTGAATGATGAATCGTTCATAAAAGTAGTTCAAGCAAATTCGTAATTGTAACACATCTAGTCCTTTCAAAAATTTCTACTCTGTAAATTAAGCGCAAGGTGCAATTCAAGATTATATAACACTCTAATGACGAGGGAACGCCGCGATACTGTCAACTCGTGAAGTAATAGCATCATTAAAATGCTCGGAGCATGCAGCTGAAACCATATGACGTGCAGCCCACAGTAGGTGCCGATATAGAAGCACAAGGCTAATCATGAATAATTACTGTATTTGCCGGTAGGTTACTGTGCCACGCAGCACCGACATTTACAAACTGAAGGAAGAAGTAACTGTAGAGTTTCTGGTTTCAGATAGGACTTCAGATTTATGAGACAAATCTTGACATCAACAAAGCAAGGCTTTTCTACAAACCATAATCGCGTTTTCTAATCCCATACTTATTATTTCTCATTCCGACCTGTAAATATTAGATGTTCAGGCTGTATACATTGTCCATTGTCATGGGTTTACGAGATTATTTTGTTTCTAAATGTGAGTGAGTGGGTTTTACGCCGCTTTTAGCAATATTCCAGCAATATCACGGCGGAGGACACCGGAAATGAGCTTCACACATTGTACCCACGTGGGGAATCGAACCCGGGTCTTCGGCGTGATGTGCGAACGCTTTAACCACTAGGCTACCCCACCGCTCCTTTCTAAATGAGAGCAGCAAAACACTTTCCATAAAAGCAAAGTCGATTGTACAACTATAACATGAGTATGAGTTTCTGAATCACAATCAGCTGTTTACCCAAATCAGTTGCTCACCGGAGAACATCATGGGAAGATATGGAACAAGTCAAAATAGGGCATTGCATGGGTCATAAGTTACGATTATGATAGTGTTGATGAGCTTCCCATTGATGAATCACAATCAGCTGTTTACCCAAATCAGTTGCTCACCGGAGAACATCATGGGAAGATATGGAACAAGTCAAAATCATTGCAGAACATCATGGGAAGGGCATTGCATTGGTCATAAGTTACGAACCGCCTCCGTCGTGTAGTGGTTAGAGCGTCCGCCAGGAGAGATGGGTTCGATCCCCGACCTGTCATACCAAAAGACGTTAAACTATGGTACTTCATGGTCCCTGCAAGTCAAAATCGGCATTAATGGGTACAACAAGGACTGGTCGATTGATGAGTCAGTATAATGTGTCCGAGTGTCACCGGAGTATTCATGCTTCACTGCGGCATGGTACGATTATTAGTTGGCTACACTATAAAACCATCTTCAGTCTGGGCTAGTACAAGTAGCCGCACATACACATATATGGAACACAAAATAGGGCATTGCATGCATACGTCGATTATGATGAGTTGATGAATATGAATCAATCAAGCACGACGTTTAAACATCATGGGAAATATTCACCTCAACCTCACCTCATAAGTTACGATTATGATAGTGTTGATGAGCTTCCCATTGATGCAGTAAAAGACTTATTATCTCTCATGACTTGCCTGAAATCGATAACTGAAACTTCGACGTGAACAGTTTCCAAACAGAGAACACTTGCCATATATGGAATGTAAACAATTGTTCCGTTCATCCAAAACTGTCGCACGAGGTGTTGTCCGAACTGGTTTCAATCACAAGTTGTGCGTAGGATATTCGTAAAGAGCGCTCCAAAGGACATAAATCTATGAGGTTCGCTTAAATTGTTGAGGTGTTAAAATTTTTAGTACGGTAGAGGACGTGAGCGTCGAGTTAATGCAACGTTGCATTAATTCATTCAAACTTTTGAATTTAATGTTGTAATGTAAACACGTAATTTTTTTAGAATACATACATGTATATGGCAGCTTCCCTGAGGGCTGATAGTATTATTGAGAAAAATGCAATATATATTTTTAGAGAAGTGTGATATAGTGCCTTTAATGTTTTACAGAATGAGCGTGCTCGATTGTAGTCAAGTAGTTGTGAAATGTAGACATGAATGTCTGAAGCTGCTGGAATATTGTTCGACGTGCAGGGAAGTTGACTACATAAGGTAGAAATCATGCCTCTTGTCATTAGTTTTGTGTAGATTTTTGGTCACTCTGACATTTCGTGCATAGATATATACTGAGAAAAATAAATAAAGCATCACAGGAAAATTCAAGCGTTCCTTTATTATGTTCCAGTTTTCATTACCACAGCGATATTCAAAGCTGGTGATGACAACTGGAAAATATTAAAGGAACATTTTCC